GCCCCAAAAAGGTTGGGGACCGCTGCTTTAGAACATCACTGTCCCATGAACTTTGTACAGGGAACTGCAACCGGAGATTATCCAGAGTAGAGAAGTTCTGTTTTTCTGCATATTTAAGTGTCTGGGGGACTTGGACAGATCCCATGGCCAGGAAGGCCTAAAACCTATGCTGCCTAGTGAAACAGAAATACCAAGTGTCTCAAAGGAGTTCTAAGACAATGCAGAGGCAGAAACAGTGAGTAGGATCTCAACAACAAATTCCATTTCCATAGACATATTAAATAGACAACAGTCCATCCACCAAGTCCATGCGTTCATACAGTGTCTACTTATAGTGGTTTGTCCCTAGAAGATAGATTGGTTCAGCTGTCTAGTTTCCAGAGCGCAAGTCAAACAATTGCTGTTCTTATTCCTTGGTGCAATGTCAATACACTATTTGGGACAGCAATACAAAAATGGGCTTACAGACAAATGAAGACGCTAAGAATAAATACAGAAAAATTTATCCACAGAGTACTGTTGACATTGTGCAGGTATAAAGCAAGGCTTTGGAAGCTTCATTTTCCTTGACTTGACTGCTTTGAGGGCTAAGGCTGCTAGCTAAATACAGCTGCCTGTTTTATGTCTTGACTGAGTGTTATTTCAGATTGCAGCACAGCGCTGAATGATGTGTATGTGTGTGTGTGTTCATGCATACACCCAAACACAGTTCCCCCTAGTTTGTTACACACATCATTCACAGAAATGGGTGAGTAGCTGATAGTGTCTGAGTTGGAAGAGCAATGATCCTGTCAAGTGAGAGGCACACCTCAAAGCACCTTTTAAAGGAACATTTGGAACAGGTTGGACAGAGTATCCTTGCTTCAGAAGCTGGAAGGTACAAATAGCATCGGTATTAATTTATTTTCAAATGATGTTTCATTTAATATTTCATTTCCCTTGTATTTTGCTCCAGAGTATGTGGCCATTGATAGTACAATTTTGACAAACTATAGTTGGCTATAAATCAGCATCCCAGATTCCTTAGACAGTTTGGTATTTTTCCTCCTATCCTACTACCAGCTTCATCCTAAGCCTATAAAACACTGTTACACCTTTTTCCCCCCCTCAGTACAGGTTATTCTGTTTGTATTCCTTTAAATGTAAAGCTGTGCTTTTATTTTTATTTTTTTTTCTTTGAGCTCAACTAGAGTGCATATCTTTTGATGGATCCCCCCTTCCCCCTTTTTCTTTTGGAGTACATTGAGTCAAGGCAAGATATCCTGAAGTTATAAAAGAACTTTGTGATCTTTTGCAGAGGCAAGATCCTGTCTCCTTTAACTCAACCTTTGAAGACATATCAAGGAATGCGCTCAACATACGATACAGATTGTTGCCCTATCTGTACACGCTGATGCATAACGCTCACTTATATGGCAGTACAGTTGCACGTCCTTTGTTACATGAGTGAGTATTAAGTGGCATTATGTGGTGGAGATCATGGATGGTGAAATTTATCATGACATAATTTGGTTGCTTTTCTCACAGTTTTCACTTGGACCCATTACTGTAAGTTCCGAAATATTAAGTGATGCCAAGGGGACCTGTGCAATATGCCTTCTCCTGCCAACCAGTTAGGGGGAATTTGCAACTAAGACTACCATCCAAAGATTTGGAGCAGATCATGCTACTCTGTCCACGAACCAACACTTCACAACTACCAATCTATGATCCAATAATCTACAGAACCAAGCACATCATTATGCCAGGCAACAAAACTCAATGAGAACCTTGAAAGTATCTTGGAGCCAGGGGCTGTCCATGTGAGAAGGGATGCTGCAACATCTTTCTCACAGAAGCAAGTATTATAGGGAGAAGATAGCAGCAGCAATGCATGCCTAGGAAACTTACAGCTCTGTAGATAACTGGACATGTTAGGTTTCATCCTTTTAATAAACTTCCAGGGCACATTCCACCCATCTATAGGTAACCAAAGGGACGTGGTGGCGCTGCGGGCTAAGCCGCAGAAGCCTGTGCTGCAGGGTCAGAAGACCAAGCAGTTGTAAGATCGAATCCACGCGACGGAGTGAGCTCCCGTCGCTTGTCCCAGCTCCCGCCAACCTAGCGGTTCGAAAGCATGCAAATGCAAGTAGATAAATAGGGACCACCTCGGTGGGAAGGTAACAGCGTTCCATGTCTAAGTCGCACTGGCCATGTGACCACGGGAGATTTGTCTTCAGACAAATGCTGGCTCTATGGCTTGGAAACGGGGATGAGCGCCGCCCCCTAGAGTCGAACACGACTGGACAAAAATTGTCAAGGGGAACCTTAACCTTTACCTTTATAGGTAACCAGGTTCTCTCCAGCCATTTCAATTATTCAAAATCTAAAGGCAGCAGCAGTGCATGCCTAGCAAACTTAGAAAAGCAGACAGCTCTCTAGATAACTGGACATGTCAGGTTTCATCCTTTTAATAAACTGGCAGGGCACATTCCATCCATCTATAGGTAACCAGGTTCTTTCCAGCCATTTCAATTATTCAAAATCTAAAGGAAGTGTTGAGATGGGGAGAAGTGAAGGTACTCTTAGTAATTTAATGAAGGTGACTGTTACTCTTAGATTAGCACCCTTCGAATACCCCTGACCTGACATTGTGGCTTGTAAATTGTCAAGGAGGACTTTGGCTTGGCACAGGGAAGCTAAGAATACCACCACCACCACCGCTCCACACACAATCAGAGTGTAGAAATGTTGGCGGTTGGCACAGAATGCCTTGGTAGCATATTAAGATCATATAGATCATGAATACAGGCTTACCTTGATTCTACAGCTAAACAGGTGGGTGAGAACATCTGGCAACCTAGCATGGGAGAAATGCGAATGTTCACCTTGGAAATTCATATACAAATTACTCATTTTCACTCCCACTCTTGCTTTCCCAGGCTATAAGAGTGAATTAAGGAAACTAATTTTCCCTCCACTACACGTGAGCAAAGTTCAGTCATATTTTTCTATAATTAGGCTATTGAGATATAAATGCAGAATGTGGCAGTTGCTAATACCCAGCTAGTTTGCTTGTCAGATCTCAATGAAATGAATGGATTTGGTCACTACACCTGACTGTAAATTGGAACCATGACTCATTTTTTGGGAATCTAGTGATAAGCATTTCTCTGCATTCATTAGGAATTGTTTTGATAAATGTAATAATAAAGTAGGGAGTCATAAATATTCTAGCTGGGCACCTCATTATATTGAAAAAAAATCCGCTTTCTTAAAAACAAATAGAGTGAGTTATGCTTCACAGCAGGACTGATTTTTTAGGCTGTTCATCTGGAAGATGAAATAATTCTTGTTTGCTATGTTTCTCAGGTTTGTCAATGATAGGGTGACATGGGATATCTACAGACAATTTTTATGGGGCCCAGCACTGATGATCAGTCCGGTTCTTGATGAAGTAAGCAACAAAATTCTAGAACTTATATCTAAATTGAATGTGGGAATAGCTGGATATTTTATTGGAATGCACCCGTAATATTTTCTCCTCCTCCTCATTTTTTCATGTGTTTCATTAAATTCTAGGGTGCTGTGACAGTGAATGCTTACATACCGGATGCACGGTGGTACGACTATCATACGGTAAGCCATTTAAGAAACCTGAAAGTAGATGTCACTTTGGATCAGAACCCTGTTTAAATGTTAAATACAATATATTCAGAAGGAGAAAAAGACCAGCTTTTTAAAGTATGGAATACTTCTTGCAAGTCAAGCAGCACTGGACTCCAAAATAAAATTCATTTATGAGTATAAATGGACAGGCAATTATGTGTTTTGCCTTCAAATCATGTATCCAGTGCTCAGTCACCTACTTCCCCTTTCAAAGTTCTTTGAATCTTTTAATCTCCAGAGGAGAAGCGCATAATGGGGGGGGGGAGGCATTACCTGTTTGTTTGTTAATTGGTTTTATTCTACCTTTCCTCCAATGAGCTCAAGGTAGTATACATTTGGGGAGTAAATCCCTATTCACCACAGTCTTACAAGTGGCAATGAAAAATTATGAAAGGGTAATTTTGTGCAAATGTGTGAATTTTGTGCAAAAAGACATATGCAAATCTGTGCACACCACCACCATTACTCCACTTTTCTGCAAATGTTACAGATAGTATAAATTTGGGGAGTAAATCCCCATTCACGACAGTCTTACAGGTGGCAATGAAAAATTATGAAAAGGTAATTTTGTGCAAACGTGTGAATTTTGTGCAAAAAGACATTTGCAAATATGTGCACATCACCACCATCACTCCACTTTTCTGCAAATGTTACAGATAGAGAAAAAGATGCTGGGCCATTTCATTCTTCTTCAAGGTTGAAAACCCCCTAGTGGCTGGCAAAGAATTTGATGGGGTGTTTCGTTGTGTCAAGGGACAATGTTTATCATCAAGCATAAGGACATTTACAAGCATTTGTTCCATCTTTAGAAGACATAGATTTTAACCTCCTCAAAGTCCTTGCAACAACCATGGCAGAGAAAGTATGACTGGTTTCCAGGGAGCTTCAGGTTTATGGCATTTTTGAGCCTTAATCTCCCAAGGCCCAGTCCAACAATCTTAGCCATTGAAATGCTGGACACAGTAACTCAGTGGCTTAGGTATCTATCTATGAAGCCAGGAGTTTGGAGTTTGATTCCCCACTTTGCCTCCATGTCAGTGGCTGGACTTGATGGTCCATAGGGTTTCTTTCAGCTCTGCAGTTCTAAGAAGAAGATGATGATGATATCCTGGCTCTTCTGCAGCCCTTTTCTTGGCTGACCATTACTCTTTTTCTCAAACTTTATCCACTAAGCAGATGCCCCAATCCCATATTTCAAATCCAAGTATAGGGCAAGGCCCGACCTACCATGGAGGGGGATATATATATCATAATTTCCTTACATACATGTGTGTGTGTGTGCATGTGTGCATGTGCACACACACACACTCAGAATATATAGCATAGATTTTGCATAAATTGATAGTTCGGTGATTTGGAAGATCTGGGGCTGAGAGTTCAACTTCCCTTTATGCTTCCTGGGGGAGGAGCCAACCTGTGTGGCCTTCAGCAAACGACATGGCCCCAGAGTGGCTCCAGAAAAAGGGACCTTAGTTTGTACCAAGAATCTTTTGTCATGAGCATCATAATTTGGAACTGACTTGATGGGATGCCATTGTTATTTTTAGAAGTAGGCACTTCGCCCCTCTTACTGACAGCTCTGTGACAGTTTCTGCCTATTCCATCGTCTAGCAAATTGAAGACCTTTGCCTATATTAATTTTTTTTTTACCCAAGTGCGGTTAGGGAAGCTATGGTCCACCAGGTGTTACTGGACTATAGTTCCCATCAGCTTTTGCCATTGTGATCATTGGTGGCACATGACAAATAATACTGTAGTTCAAACTTCTGGAGGTTCTCAGTGCTGAGCTACAGTTTCCAGAAAAAAATGTTTGTTTGTTTTTTTAAAAAACAAGAGGTAGGGAGGATGGAGAAATGCACATCTTTCCAAGTCCCCATGCCAAATATCGGCTGATCTTTTTGCAGGGAAAAGACATTGGAGTGCGAAAACAGTTCCAAGTGTTGGATGCGCCACTGGAACATATAAACCTTCATGTTCGGGGTGGCTACATCATCCCCTGGCAAGTGCCTGGTATTACAACCAATGCCAGGTAAGTACAACCTGTCACAGAAGGAACTTCGTTTGTATACAGATTTCACTTCAATTTAAGCAATGCCTGTGCAGTGAAGTTGAGCACATGATGTCATTCCGAGATACTTCTAGTCTGAGCTCCCTTCAGAGTCCTCTGTGAGGATCTGAGATGGTCTTTCAACTGCTGTCTGAGGATTGCTATGAGAAATCAAACTATTTTTAGTGCTTGCAGATCTTTTAATATGTCTTAATTCCATGCCTCATCTGACTGTAATGCTCTTCCCCGTGTCTTCAAAGCAAAGTGTACTGCTTTGAGTAGCCATCTTCGTACAAACATATCCAGCCATAATTAAAGAAAAAAGAAGAAGTAAAAATATTGTGGCAGATTAAAGACTAAGTAGTGTATTTCCATTTGAGCTTTAGTGGATACATCCATTTTTTTCAGATGAGCTCACCATTGCAAAAATATTTATGCTTTTTCTTCTAGCCGTGCAAATCCCATGGGCCTCACTGTTGCTTTGGATGATTACGGGTTTGCCACAGGAGAACTTTATTGGGATGATGGAATCAGTATTGGTGAGTGTATGGCAGACATAACAGAGCTCACACATTGGATACTACATATTAACTTTTGGCTGAAATCCTGTTCCTTAAAGTATGCTGCATAAGGCTGATGACATCATCAGATGCAATGAGTTTTCAGAAATACGACTCTTCTGATTTGTCTGGAAAGAGGGTGAGGCTCCTATGGAATCTCTTCTGTTATTGGAAAGCCGTTGAAGGCTGTGAGGCATAGGGAATTTGCAACTATCAAAAAATCACCACACTGGTAATGTCATGATGGCACCAATGATTTTTGATAATTAAAGACTTCCTAGCAGTGCTGAGTTCCCAAACAGCTTCCTGGCAATGAAAAGAGTGCAAGGGAGATTTGGGAACTTAAAAGGTGGGATAGGAACTGTTTTCTTTCTGAAAAATTGCTGTTGATGGTTACATCATCAACCTTATGTGGTGTAATTCACAAAACAGGATTTCAGTTTCAGAGTCTTACTTCATATATTTCAAGATAGTGATACCCCATTTTATTTTAACAGAAGAAGAAAAGATAATAATCGGCCCTAGATGAAATTTATAATATAGCTAACCTAATTTTCACATTTTATTATATATTCTGTCCATTCTCTGATGATAGACTTGCTTGTCAGAGAAGCTGAAAATGCTGGAACTTAACAACTTTAGGAAAATATTTTGCATTTGTGCAGTACTAGGACAGAGTCATGTATTTTAATATTTGTCAAACTCCTTTCTTTTATTTGGCTTTTGAGGAAGCTGTATCCATTCAGCTAAATTCTGGAATGTTAATGAAATAAAATGTGGAGATCTGCTATCCAAAATAAAAATCATCTCTTTGTTGGAAACCCAAAGACATTTAGGGCTGTCAGTGTGGTATAGTTGAGAAGAAGCTGAGATTCAGATCCCAGCTGAACTTTGGAGCTGTTTGGGTGACAATAATATCAATAAATTAATGTGTTATGTTAAAAAAAATTCACATATTCCCTTTCAAAAATCCTCAAACTGTCCATAGGTGAGGAATCTACAAGCTGTCATGATGTTGCAATGAATTTCTGTCAGGAGGTATCAGCATGCCCGGGGTAATCTTACAGCCTAGGTTGATGAGAAGCAACAAATGCAGGAGTTAAAGCAGTTGTTGTTTTAGGGCCAAACTATAGTTACAGAGAGAATCTCATTAGAAGAGGGAATTCCTTAAATGCAGAAAGTGTCTGACTGCCATAGCAAGAAGTTGTCATGCCTCTTACAATTTGAAAATTAGCTTGTTTCTTTTCTTTTTCTTTCTTGTGTGTAATTGGCCATTAGGAAATAAACACAGGCTTCATTTGTTAGTTGGATTGTCAGGCATGAAGCTTTTCCAACATCTCCAGAAAATTACTGTAGTTTCAGTTTCTGATGGCTAGTTTCATTCATTTGTGGCCATCAGAAAACTCTGAACCCATTTCACCATTGCATGGGGCACTTGTCTTATTTAAGGGAGAGGGGAACAAGAATGATGCATAATAGGAAAGATTTTCTAGGGAAACACACCTTCAGGTGCAGTTAATCTGACCCGAATCATTCTTATTATGCTCTCTCACACATTCCAACCATGCTAATTGTTTTCTCAGTTGTTCTAAGAAGCATTTCTTTTCTCTTGTTTTTCTTTACTTTTTTTAAAAAAAATTCTTTTCTTTGCAGATTCATTTGAAAACAGTTACTACTTCCTTGCAGAATATCAAGTGTCTAATGTATGTATATCAATATTTTCCCTTGAAACAAAATATTAGAATTCTTAAACAGTAGGACCCCCATACTGACTGCTTCCAAGCTCACCATGGATATTGTAAATTGTAGATAATAACAAACTAGAGAGAGAGAGAGAGAGAGAGAGAGAGAGAGAGAGAGCATGGGGAAAGGTAAAAAATCCAGAAATTTTTTTTCACATATATTAACAGAACTGGCTACTAGAGGGAGCCAGAGACCATGTTATGTATTCTTCACTAAGAAGTATTCATAGCATGGACTCTGCCCCCCTCTAGTGGCCAGGTCTGGTAACACAGAAAAGACTAGTTTTTTCTGGATTTTTTTCTTTTAATGAGAGAGAGCATGGGGAAAGGTAAAAAATCCAGAAATTTTTTTTCACATATATTAACAGAACTGGCTACTAGAGGGAGCCAGAGACCATGTTATGTATTCTTCACTAAGAAGTATTCATAGCATGGACTCTGCCCCCCTCTAGTGGCCAGGTCTGGTAACACAGAAAAGACTAGTTTTTTCTGGATTTTTTTCTTTTAATATTGTTAATATTAAATCAGTGGATAAGGGGGTCCAATAATAATAATAATAATAATAATAATAATAATAATAATAATAATAATAATAATAATAAATATCCTAAAGATGCTTAAATATTTTTATATACTAATCTGTGAATTCATTCCAAATAGCATTTCTTTCCAGTTCAAATATGCATGCACATCACCTGATATCTGCTTCCTTAAAATTATAGGCTAGGTTTCTAAGAATCTGATACTTCTTTTACAAATTTTAAAAACTGAAGAGAGTTTCAAACAGAGTTGGAGAACATGGAGTGTTCCTGTTGGCAGAATCAGCAATTGAGTAGCCATGTGGAAAGCAGCTCTTTGAATATCATGTTTTTGGATGATTTAAAAGAAATTGTGATTAATTGATTTCATGCTCCTGCTTGATGAACTTCAATGTGTTTGAATATTGGGCCATTTACTCATGCTTTGTGCAAATGGCTGGGTTAGAGATGCCATATATATAAAGCAATGTTTCCCAACCTTGGATCCCCAGATGTTCTTGGTCTAGAAGCATTTATCTGGCTGTGGTAGTCCAAGAACATCTGGGGACGCAGGGTTGGGAATCACTGGTCTAACGCGTGTAAAACCTCTTCCTGTATTTTTAGAAAAGTCTAATGCATGTAAAACCTCTTCCTGTATTTTTAGAAAAATAACTTGTCCTCTTTCTCTAATTTCAGAATACATTGAGGGTCTCTGTGCTGCACAACAACTATTTAACTGATTCAATTGATTTAAGAATTGGTTATTTGCATGTCTGGGGAGTGTCAGCTTCAGTTACAAACGTTATTGTGACACATGATGGAACAGAAGAAGATTTCTTGTTTCGGTATGATCCAGAAAGCCAGGTAGGTCAAATACTGGAATGAATAATGGAAATTTACTGAGTTTTTTCCCCTCATGTATGTTGTTGTTGTTTAGTCGTTTAGTCGTGTCTGACTCTTTGTGACCCCATGGACCAGAGCACGCCAGGCCTTCCTGTCTTCCACTGCCTCCTGGAGTTGGGTCAAATTCATGTTGGTAGTTTCAATGACACTGTCCAAACATATTTTCCTCTGTCATCCCCTTCTCCCCCTGCCTTCACACTTTCCCAACATCAGGGTCTTTTCCAGAGAGTCTGCTCTTCTCATGAGATGGCCAAAGTATTGGACCCTCAGCTTCGGGATCTGTCCTTCCCAGTGAGCACTCAGGGTTGATTTCCTTTAGAATGGATAGGTTTGTTCTCCTTGCAGTCCAGGGGACTCTCAAGAGCCTCCTCCAGCACCACAATTCAAAAGCATCAATTCTTCAGCGGTCTGCTTTCTTTATGGTCCAGCTCTCACTTCCGTACATCACTAGAGGAAAAACTATACCTTTGACTATTCGGACTTTTGTTGGCAAGGTGATGCCTCTGCTTTTTAAGATGCTGTCGAAGTTTGTCATTGCTTTCCTCCCAAGAAGCAGGCGTCTTTTAATTTCATGGCTGCTGTCACCATCTGCAGTGATCACGAAGCCCAAGAAAGTGAAAGCTGTCTCTGCCTCCATATCTTCCCCTTCTATTTGCCAGGAGGTAATGGGACCAGTGGCCATGATCTTAGTTTTTTTGATGTCGAGCTTCAGACAATTTTTCTCCTCTTTCACCCTCATTACTAGGTTCCTTAATTCCTCCTCACTTTCTGCCATCAGAGTGGGATCATCTGCATATGTTTTGGTTGATATGTCTTCCAGCAATCTTAATTCCGTGGTCTTCCAGCAATCTTAATTCTGTTTTGGGATTCCAGCCTTTTGCATGATGTATTCTGCATATAATTTAAATAAGCCAGGGGACAATATACAGCCTTGTCGCACTCCTTTCCCAATTTTGAACAATCAGTTGTTCCATATCCAGTTCTAACTGTTGCTTCCTGTTCCACATATAGGTTTCTCAGGAGGTAGATAAGGTGATCAGGCACTCCCATTTCTTTAAGGACTTGCCATAGTTTGTTGTGGTCCACACAGTCAAAAGCTTTTGCATAGTCAATGGAGCATAGTCATTCTCATGTATGTAGAAGATGTTTAAAGCACATTTTTAAAATTGCTCTGTTTTTAAAGAATGTTGACTTCAGAGACTTTTTTGTCTTTTTATCCATTTATAAAGAATTTTATTGATTGATTGATTAATTGGCTGATGTCATTTTGCCAAGAGTTGGGTGCCCTCCTGGGCCACCACAATGATAAATACTACAAACAAACAAACAAATATGGTTGCTATTCAGTATTCAAGAATTAACCTGGCACAGTACTACTTTTTCTCTTCTTTGGTAGCATATTTGCTTGTTTTATTTCAGAGCATATATCTTCTCCTTCCCTAAGGCATGGTTTCAAATCTAAATCTCAGTTCCAAGGAAGTTTAAAGTTACACCCGCACAAAGTACCCCATTGCTCTTAAAGCGGGGGTGTGTGTGTCTCTTCCTGTTTAGTAGTGATCATGTTGTTAACATGAAGTTCTGAACATGAGGCAGGTGGGTGGTTGTATAGTTGATAAGCTATACAACAAGCTATACAACATATTAAAGCAAAAAGCAAAGCAAAATGTGCTGCTTATATTTATTTATTTATTTATTTATTTATTTATTTATTTATTTATTTATTTATTTATTTATTTATTTATTTATTTATTTATTTATATGCCGCCCACTCTACCCAGAGGTCTCTGGGCGGCTTACAATAATTAAAAATTCAATACAATAAAAATAAAATGATTAAAATACAATTAAAATACAATTAAAATACAATTAAAATTGCCATCATCAGGACCCACAGTTGATGTTATTTTAATTAAAAGCCTTCTGGAACAGGAAGGTTTTGACCTGGCGCCGAAAAGTCATCAACGTCAGCGCCAGACGAATTTCAGTTGGGAGGGCGTTCCATAGTCTGGGGCAGCTGCCGAGAAGGCCCTTTGTCTACAAGCCATCCCTCTTACCTCGAGGGATGGCTCTTTCAAAAGGGCCCCCTGGCTAGATCTTAACTGCCGGGTAGGCTCATATGCTTCAAGCACTCTCTGGGTGGTTTACAAGTTAATTATCCAGGCTACACATTGCCTCCCCAGCAAGCTGGGTACTCATTTTACCGACCTCGGAAGGATAGAAAGCTGAATCAGCCTTGAGCCAGCTACCTGGGATTGAACCCCGGGTCATGAGCACAGTTTTAGCTGCAGTACAGCGGTTTAACCACTGCGCCATGAGGCTCATGTAAATCCCTTTCTGTCTCTGGTTCTTTTCATTCCTTTCAAGAAGCTGTTTACATGGGTTTCTCTAGCTCCTTATTTAGACCTGTATCCTCCAACTGGCAACAGGTAGAACTCTCATACCAAACAGCAGGAAGATATCTTGTGTCAGATAAAGAAAATATTATTTGTGAGGGCTATAGTGACTTTGGGATTTGGGGAGCTACAGTCCAAAAAATATATTTTTCCCATTTCTGATCTGTGGAGAATGCAGTCCTTGGTGCTATTTCTGTTATTAGCCGGGTGGGTCCGCTATAGTTAATACAGATTGAAGCCACCTCCAACAACATGTTGCATGTCCATCTATAGTATGTAGACATGCCCAGATCCATATAAATTATTGAGACTCTTGGACTCCCCGGCTTACTATCACTTATACTGTATATCATAGGAAACAGAGCAAGGATCACATTGTTGAAGGTAGAATATGGCTCAAAGGTGTTCTGAATGAGAGTCACCTTTCACTTCTTTAAGTCTGTGCTGCTACAACCTCATCTTTTTCTTTTACCTCAAGTCTAGTAGAGAAAATGTTTTTCTAAGTGCTGCCTTCCACCGGCTCATATTGGTTAGCTAAGGAAAAATATGCCTAGAACAGCATTTCACTTAAGAGCAAGAGGACCAATTATCAATTCTCTTGAAAGTAAATTCACTGAAGCCCAGCCTATAGGCCTTCTTGCATTGCTTTCAATTTGTGTTTTTTTGCTTACCTGTTCTACATATCCCCAAATCACTGAACTAATTGGTGGTTAATGAAACACGAAAACCCTCTATTAATCATTTCTCTAAGCTGGTTACTCTCCTTTCCTACCTCTAAGAAAATGCATTTCACTCTGAGCTAATCTTTCTCCTAGTTCTTCCTTTTCTCATTTCCTCTGGCAGCCTCCTTCCTTTACTGACCTTCTGCTGCTATCAGTTTGGAGAAAACGCTTTTAAGCTTCTACTTTCTCCATCTTTTCCCTACCAGCTTTAGAATGCTCAAATATTTTCATGCCACATCTCCATGTGGTAATTTAAAAGGTATCTTATCTTACTTGCCCTCCCTTTTCTATAACAAGAGACATTTTTTTAAATGAAATTGAGAGATCTCTTCCTGTAGCGAAAACTAAATCTCTCTCTTCTGACATCTCACATTTGAAGTTGGAAGGTGGAGAGCAAAATGAGAGAAGCCCAAGGTCTGACTTTGAGAACTTTTCCTGGCATAGAAACAGCCTATGTTGAAGAATATTAAGTGAAGCTAAATGTTTATTTGGGTTACAATGTCCTTTCGTCATCTTTAATAGAACCATCTTTAATAGAACTATTTCTTATCTAATGTTTAACCTTTGATCAGCTGCCTAACTTTGAACTTCTGGATGACTATCCTTTCCTTGTTATCCTTGTCCCACTTCTGCCTTTACTCTTGCATAACCTTACCTTCTTATACACTTTAGATTTATCCCCAAATCAAACGGGATGGCTTTGCCTGTTTTCTAATGTGGAATTCAATGCCACACTAAAAAGCCTAGTATTTTACAGTGCGAAAAAAAAATATGAGGGAACACCACATTTTTTAGTCAAGCCATAATTTTCTCAATTTAGTTACAACTGATCATAAAAAGCTGAGGGTTTTTTTTCCTGTTTAGTGACTTACCATACAATTAATGTTTGCTGAAAGTTCTAATTCCTACCAATAGAGTTATGCTCATTTTTCAAGCTTATGAGCATTATTATTAGGACAAAAATGCTCCGAGCCTCCCAGTGGTCTTGCTGGTGGGATAATTCTGGACTTGTAGTTCAAAACCATAGCTTTTTCAAGCTGACCTTTTTGCCTACATTGCTATTATTTAGTTAGGCAAAATGTCAGCTGAATTTTGAGAAAACGAAAAGGTGGTTCTGAATTAGTTTAATGTAGTGGTCCGTAACCTTGTTTCCCCAGAGGCTTTTGGATTACAACTCCCAGAAATCTTGGCCAGCACAGCTAATGGTCAAGGCTTCTGAGGGTTTTAGTCCAAGAACATCTGCAGACAAGGTTGGGAGCCAATGGTTTAACGCAGTCTCTCAGGGCTGTTCTCTACATGTCTAGTGGAAACCCACAAAGGCTGTTATTTGAGTTTTACCATTAGACTCCTCTCCTTTTCCCCAGCATTTAGATAAGATAATGCTCTTCCCTGATTGGGGGTGGGTTTTTTTCCAAACCAGGGGCAAGACTTTACACTTTGCTTAAATTGTAACATTAAAATTGGAGGATCCTGCTTTAAAACAGAACAGACAAGGCATTTCATGAGAACAACTAAGGATTTTGTGAAAGCTATAGAGGTTTCTCAGTAAGCCATCCTTGTAGAACAGTGGTTCCCAACCTTGAGTAACCCATCTGTTCTTGGACTGCAACTCCCAGAAACTCCAACCAGTACAGCTAGTGGTGAAGCAATCCAATAACATCAGGGTTACCCAAATTGGAACTTCCTGTTCTTATCAGGGATAACCTGATGCCCAGAGAGTTCATGAAGTTCAGGGTTACCCAAGATTGGGAACTTCCTGTTCTTATCAGGAATAACCTGATGCCCAGAGAGTTCATGAAGTGTTGAGTTTGACATAAAATGTAATCCATGATGGATGACTTAAGGCTTTCCATGATGGATTACTATTAGCTAACAGGTTCTGAGCTGTCTGTGACAGATCAGGAAAGATATATTGGTGTGCTGGTGGACAGCTTGATGAAAGTATCAACCCAGTGTGCAGTGGCAGTGAAGAAGGCCAATCCCATGCTTTTGTTGTTGTTGTTTAGTCTTTAAGTCATGTCTGACTCTTCGTGACCCCATGGACCAGAGCACGCCAGGCCCTCCTATCTTCCACTGGCTCCCGGAGGTCTGTCAATTTCATGTTGGTTGCTTCGCAGACACTGTCCAGCCATCTCATCCTCGGTCGTCCCCTTCTCCTCTTGCCATCACACTTTCCCAACATCAGGGTCTTTTCCAGGGAGTCTTCTCTTCTCATGAGATGGCCAAAGTATTGGAGCCTCAGCTTCAGGATCTGTCCTTCCAGTGAGCACTCAGGGCACCTCCCTTATGAGGAAAGGCTACAGCGTTTGGGGCTCTTTAGGCTAGAGAAAAGGTGCCTGAGGAGGGAAATGATTGAGACATATTAGGCAAGGGATGGATAAAGTGGATAGAGTGAAGCTCTTTTTCCTCTCACACAATACCAGAACATGGGGCATCCACTCAAATTGAGTGTAGGGAGAGTAAAAACAGACAAAAGAAAATATTTCTTGACCCAGCATGTTGTTAGTCTGTGGAACCCCTTGCCACAGGATTTGGTGATGGCATCTGGCCTAGATGCCTTTAAAATGGGATTGGACAGATTTCTGGAGGAAAAGTCCATTGTAGGTTGTAAGTCATGATGGGGGTGCATCATCTCCAGGCTTAAAAGGAAGGTACCTCAAAATGCCAGATGCAGGGAATTGATATCAGGAGACAGGTATCTAGTTGTCTTATGTGCTTCTAGAGGCATCTGGTGGGGCCACTGTGAGATATAGGAAGCTGGACTAGATGGGTCCTTGGCCGGATCCAGCAGGGCTCCTCTTATGTTCTTACCAATGCACACTTAATCCAAAACATATGGACGTGAAACCCATTCCAAAACATTTTGGGATCCATTAATAGGTAGACATGTTTCTGTTTAAATGGATAGCATATTCTGCCCATGGTGCATAGGGCTATGATAGTAAATAGATTGTTTTAGTAACATGTCAAAAAATGAATAGTAGGAAATGTCTTTCACTTTATCTGCCCCCACTTAAGAGGTCATTAAAATAAAAAAGGAGAAGATGGAGGGTAAGTTGATTTGTCAGAGGCTTATTTTTGAGCCACCAGGAGCCCAGAATGTTATGTCTACCTGTTTGGGGAATATTCTTATTGTTTCATTAAGATCTGGAGACTAAGTTTGCTTCTCCCTTCTGTTACATCCCAAGCTATTATTTTCATGATGTTAACCTGAGTGTAGGGGCAAGTCATGTTATTATAAGAATATTACTTGCAGGGTGCTTTAAGTGTCCCTTTGAGCTAAATAGAAGTGCTTAAAATGTTTAAAAATATGCAAATAAAATATTAAATATCCCCCCCCACAAACAAATCAAATCCCCTTTGTTTCATCCCCATGTTCTTACGTAGCTCTTTTTTGCTGAGTGACTGCTCTGATTCTTGAGGCCCAGGAAAAAGCTCCCTTGTATAGCATATTTGGTCATAATTATTGTGAAATATATTACAAGAAAGTGAAGATATTTCCCTCACCGTTTTTTTTACCTCAAACGGTTACGCATTTTGAAATTTAAAGTGAAAGATAATTTTTCAAAAGGTTGGAAATAACAACTTTCTTGTGCCATGATTCCCATTGCCTGGGTTCTGTGGAGACAAGAGAAAGATGAGGGAAACGTTGGGCATGCCCACATGTTGAGTGGTTGCACCAAACCTTTCTGAATCTTGTCCTATAAAAACTTGTCCTATAAAAATTTTACATTCCGTGCGCTGCACCAATATTTAAATTGTATCAGGACTGACACTGGTTGCAGAAATGGGACTCAAATCTGTCATATTATGGTATTAGCTTGAGTGAGTTCTGTAGAGAACCTCAGGAGGAGCGCCCTTTTGAGCATGTGTGATGAAGTGAATAGTACAAAGAAGGTAATTTCTAGCAGCTGTGACTAGCAACTGAAATGTGTCAGTTTTATTTTTGCCAACATATCTGTGTCCTGAATATGAAAACATTTTCAGCTTCTGGTACCCTGTCCTAAAACACACTCAGTGAAAATTCTCCCCCATTAACATTAGCCAAATTCTGTTAATAACTGTAATTAAATTTTGTGCTATCAAGTAAATTCCCACTTAGGACAACCCTTTCCAGGATTTTCTAGTTAGGCAATATTCAGAAGTGGTTTGCTATTCCCTTCTTCTGAGGCATCCTAGGTCTGTGCAGCTTGCCTGAGGCCAAACAGGCTGGCTTATGTCTCAGAGGCACAATGGGTGATCAACTCCTACACTCTGGCTCCACACCTAAACCATGGATCTATCTAGCCAGCATGAGGAGGACCACACACTGTACCTGCCTGCCATATAGGACCCACTGGCAAAGAAAAGGTGGTAATCCTCATTCAATATTAAAAGGATGGGATATGCAAATATTCAATCACTAATAACTGAAATCTCTGAGTTGAATCAGTAATTCCATCAAATTTGGTTTCTCCTAAATTTGATGTTTTTAAAGAGATTCAAGTTCTTTCCACTCCAAACATGAAGAAATGAGCAGATTTTTAATAAACTAGAATGAAAATCAAACTAAAAAGTAATGCTTATCAGTTCCTATGCATAAAATGTTTTCTCTCTGAAAGCAGGTATAAGATAACAGTGAGACGTGACATCTGGGGGTATTTAAAGTTGGTTAGCCTGTTAGATATTGTTCCTGGCAGACTCCTGTCAACAGGTGTTGTTTGACAAAGGTGTTCCAAATAATGAATCCTTGTGGGACGCTAGTCATGTATTTGTTGTTTTACATTTCTTTTTCTAAAAGCAGTATTGAATAATCAGTTTCCCTTTCTTTCTTGCCCTTCTATTCAGATTCTAGAAGTTGATTTCACTGGCAATGTTTACCTCATTTATCAGCTAGACCAAGTAAAATGGGTGACAACCTCTTAACCATCCATGAAAAAAACAAGCAAGATGACAATTGCTTCGTCACAAATGAATGTATTGCGGATTTGAACTATGTTTTGTTCAGCTATAATTGCAACATACAAATGAAGAAATTGATATGACATCACTGCAGATAATATTTGTCATAAAACATTTTCATTTTCCTGTAAAGGAAGCCATACTTATTCACTTGTACATGACCAGTGTAGAATGCTGTGGTGGCCACTGAAGACAGAAAGGAGAATGGGTGTTTATTTCATTGAAGCACAGAAAAGTATTATGATTTTGTAAAATAGCCAATAGAAAGTGCCAAAAAAAACCCTCATTATGGTAGGGTAATCTATGTGAAATCAGATTTGATGGGGGGGGCGAGGGTGGTTTTTCATAGGACTTAAAATGTCATTGTAACAGCTAAGTGCCTAACATGATAGACTATGCAATTGTTTTTTATGATGATGATGATCAGTGTGAGAATGTGTCACAAGACACAACAAAGCTCTGATATTTTTTGTAATTTATACTAATGAGAAAATAAAACTCCACTGACATTGCTTAGCTATATGTCTATGTTTGTGGATATGTGTCAGCATGCTCGCATGTATGGTGTAAGGAACATCACCAAAACTCATACTTCTGGGCTCAGAAATATAAGGGTGCTTCTAGAGAGCTCCTATCACTCACAATCAGAAGCTATTCCATTTTTTAACCTCTACACCACACTTTGATCCCACTTTAACATTCTAATTCTATGTTGTTAAAATACTGATGATGATGATGTACTATCAAGTCAATTCTGACTTATGGTGACCCTCTTCAAAGTTTTTCCAGGAAGAGAATACTTCCTGGAAGTATTCTTTTCTGGGGGTGCCCAGGGATTGTGCAGCTTGCCCAAGGCCACACAGGAGGGGCTCTACTTCAGAGGAGGCACAGTGGGAATAAAACTCCCAACCTCTGGCTCCAAATCTAGATAGCAAAGCCACTGAGCTATCACAGCTGCATCCTGTGAATTCCTAAGGCTAAGTACTTTGATGGGCCACTTGGAAAACCCTACAAGGACAACCTCTTACACCCCCTGAACTTCAGTGAGAATTCTATGTATTTTACCAAACTACAAAACAGAATTCCATAGGATGGAACAATGACAGTTAAAGTGGGATGAAACTTCTATAAATGTGGAGAGGAAACAAAGGGAACATGAGTGCTACAAATAGAAGGTTGTGATATATAGCTTGCTCTCTAAACCTCAGCAAACAAGACATTCTGAGTGAAGTTTGGAAACACCCTCAGGGGTTCATGATGCTAGCCTGATTTTTAATCTGAGCTACAGATAAATTCCTTCTCTCTCCATCACAAGCCCTCCCTTATAGACTCAACGCCTTGTTTTCAAATGCACACTAATCTTCCAATCCCTCCTTCACTCCTCCCACTCTGGTTATTTGTTTGGTGCAGTACAAGTGCTCTGATAATAAGTAGGGAAAAGGAAGGACCTGTTTCTTCTACCCCCCCAAAAAAACTTCCCCAACAGTGATAATGTTTTCGGACACATCTTTCTTCTACTTACTGTAGTATGAAGACAGTGTGGGCGGGGATCACTTTGACTGACTCGCATGTATGCATCTTGATCTAACATTGATTGCCACACCTATGTTTGGATTTTCCTTGTTCGGAAGAGGAGGTGGGCCCTATTCAGCCTGTGTGTCACATGCAACACTTAGAGGCCAATGGGCAGCACTCAAGGTCTCCAGTATCCCACACACTTAATTGTGTTATTTTTAAAGCTTTTTGGCCTCTAGATGTCCCTTTGTGCCTTCTATGGAGCATCAATCAATTCTGAAGTTTCCCTCAGCCCTCCATGAGCCTCCTCATCACCAAAATTTAAAATCAAGACAGTAGTTTATTATTATTATTTTTAAGTGACTGGAGAGGAGCACATTTTGCCTCTAGCTCTTTCCCCCAACCAGCATCACTTTCCAGCATAAGATGTGGCAAGGATGTGCCTTTCAAAAACAGAGCATATTATAAACTGTGGAGGGAACACTTAGATTCCAAAGGACTTCTAAACAGGGAGTAATTAGTTCAGACAGCAAGAGCTGTAAAGGAGATACTTCTGCAAGATTTCACTTGAGATATAAATATCAAAGAGCAATGGGCCATTATGAAGATATTATGTTATCATTAAAGGCATTTCTCAAAGAGATTATTATTAATGCCTAAACAATTGCACTGTCAGACTTCACAGTTGAACAGATTATTTCAAAAGACAACGCAGCTTACAAAATATGGGCAAGTGAGAAGGTTAGCCAGAGAACTGTATTGAAAAAGATTAATCAAGAGATTTCTCCAAGACTGTTACCAATACCCAAGATAAAGATGACTGCAGTGCTGAGAGAGATAAAAACACTTGTAATGAGAGATTGCAGCATATAAAAGGAAGTGGAAGGTAAAAATACAGGGAAAAGGTTTAATTGCTACCTTTTTGTCAATTTGATTATGATTTTTTTGAAGAATGAAAGATAAGAAACGGAAATAGTGGGGAAAATGACCATGTTATTCTGGAGTTCTAGATTTCAAAGGAAGTAAAACTACAGAGTAGACATATGCGCACACTGGATTTTAGGTAGACCAATTTCAAGAAATTTAGGATAATAATAACAACCACAATTGCATGGCATGAAATCCTAACAGGAAAAAAGATTCCAAGACGGGTGGAAGTTTCTTTAAAAAAATTATAAGGCACAACTAGAAACAATTCCAACAAGGGAAAAAAGCTGAAAGATAGTTAAAATGGCCAATGTCGCTTGTCCAAGACGGGTGGGAGTTTCTTTTAAAAAAAATTGTAAGGCACAACTAGAAACAATTCGAACAAGGGGAAAAAGTGGAAAGATAGTTAAAATGGCCAATGTCGCTTCACAAAAAGCTGAAAGAGTGTTGGAAAAAAAAATAAGAACACATACAGGAACTGGAAGGAAGGCCAGGCCACAAAGAAAGAGAAAATAAATAAGAACACATACAGGAATTGGAAGGAAGGCCAGGCCACAAAGGAAGAGTACAGACAAGTAGCAAAGAATTGCAGGGATGGTGTTAGAAAGGCAAAAGCTGAGAGTGAGCTTAGGTTAGCAAGAGATGCTAAAAGCAACAAAAAAGCATTCCTTGAGTACACAAATAGCAAAAGACAGAGAAAAGAAATAGTAGCTGAGTTACTCATTGTGGGATAGAAAAATGGTAAGAGATAACAAAGAAACGACAAGATTCTCAATCCTTACTTTAGCTCATATTTTTTCTCCAAAAGAGAGTCTATGATCCTCCAGGCAAATGTGAACTACAAGTGGAGGGGACAGGATTGGAGCTTGAAATTGACCAATCAGATGAAAGCTTGCTGGCAAAAACCTAAAGGGGGGTTTGATTCTTCCCAGTCTTGTTTCCTTTTCAAAAAGTCTGGCTCCATGCAAAAAGCAAAAGCAGAGCTCCCACATCAAGCAGAAGCTCAGGACATTTGAATACATGCACCTATTTAAATATTTGAAAATAGAGAAGCATAGTTATCCTAAATGACTAAGTAACTGCGTTTTTACAGAATCCAAAACAAAATGAAAACAAGTACTTCAAAACTTCTAAGAGTAATCAGTGTGCTTGATCAATAGGGTTGCAATTAGGGTGGTATACTGTCCCACAAATTGGTCTGTGTTTGAATGAAAATATACAAGTCAGTGCTCATTTCACCCTGTGTTCTTTTGGTAATACACTGATCTGTAAGCCTGTCTGTGCTAGCACTTGTGAATTTTTATATCTATAGGGAAAACACCACTCCCACAAATGGAAAAAAACCCATAGAGGGATATAATTTAGGACTAGGGCTTACACAACATCACTTGAATGATTTCTGGCAGGATTGTTTTTCCACTTCCAGAGAAGAAAATAAAAAGAGAAATGGGAGACAGTGGTTGTGAATTTTGGTAAAGATGCTATGACACTGACAAGTAAAAAGAAACCAACATGTAGAGGATGGAGTTGGAATAAAGACCTGAAGAAACAGTTGCATAGTTAGGGGATATTCCAAGATCTCTCTTCATTGCTGGAGGAATATGTGAACTCAGTGGCTCAGAGTGCCTTGAGTTGGGTTTGACTTTTCCAGCAACTACAACCATTCCTGGTCAGGAATAATATGGCCACAACAGTTCACACCCTGGTATGTTTCTGGTTAGACCACTGAAATTCACTCTTCAAGACCTTGACATGTTACAGATCCTGCAGCATGTGCAATACACAGCAGCTAGACTGCTAGCAGGAACATTCTTCAGAACATGGTACCAGTTCTAAAGGATTTGCACTAGCTTCCAGTACTCTTCCAGTCTGAGTTCAAGGTGTTCATGATAAGAGTTAGGAAGCGGTGAATGGCTTGGGACCTGCACATTTGAAGGAGGTGCTGTCTCCGTATAAACCTGCCCAATCAAAGCTGCAATAATGTATCTGCTTTGCAATGTTCTTGGTAGTACACCTTTTCGATGGAACTTCAGTTTATAACAAAATCATCATTATTTCTTTTGTGAGAATCAATATTTCAGCATCTGCAGCCTAGCTTCTTTCCAAATTAAAAAACTGGGTGGGGCCCATCATTCTCTTTCAAGAAAAGAAAAGAAATAGTATTTTCAATTTCTATGACATGTTTTAAACTTGGAGATGTTTAGGACTGCCTATTTCTGAATGGTGTGTGTGTGTGTGTGTGTTAAAACAGATAGACTTTTTAAAAAATCTTGCCTTAAAAACCCTTTTGCCCAAACTTTCCCAAATTTGTCACAGAACAAGAGCAGTCTGTCTACTACACTTGCAGAAAATTTGGTGCTAATTGGAAGTCCAGTTTCAAAATATATATTTTTTTTGGGTTCGGGTTGCCCCATTTTAAAAATTGACTTATAGAATAGTGATTTGCTATACTGTGCAATATAATTTGTTTAGAAACAGTGTAGACAACACATTATCTGACTCACTTTGTAATAGTCACAGAAACACATGTATTATATTGCAATGATTAAATACAGGCCTTTTGCCAGTGATATCATAAGGACATACCCTGTGACATCACACCTTGTTTCAAGTCCTGGGCTTGAAAGCCCAGTGAATGGGAACTGTTGAGTGACATCACACAGGAGCCCGCCTCCTTGTTTCAAGTCCAGAGCTTGAAAGCCCAGTGAATGGGAACTGTTGATCTGACAACTTTATTTTACAGCACCTCCTTGAACCACAGCTTGCTGGTATGTGAATTCTGTGTGGGCAACGAAGAAAGAGCAAGTGCTTTTTCTGTGTGAAAACTATCTTTCTATTCTGATATTCTGGCCTGGGATGTGAGATTTAAAAAAGATTTCCCAGGAATGATTCGTTGATCAAATTAAGCCCTTAAATATTTCACTAATTCCACACAACCTCTTTGGGAGTTTCACACCTCCTAGCCTACTAAATGCTGTGTGTTACCAAAAGAAGACCTTGCAATTTGGAGTACATCCAAGGCAAATGAAAAGAGGATATTATATGTTATTTCTTCT